TTATTTTTTAATTGAAACCTAAAGCACCAAAACACTATCATTTAAATGTTGGAGGATCTCATCTTCAAAATTCATCTAAAATCCACCTCCAATATTCACCCCTCATTCCACCACTTTCTGACCACCAAAACCATCGGACCGACACACTATCTTGAAGCCCTGGATGCTCTCTACGCAATTCACCGAAGAATCGCCCCTAACTCCGACGGATTTGGCCTGAATTTCGTCCCAAAAACAGCCCCTCGCACAACACAAAAACTGCCAGCCACCACGTTTCTCGCCCCATTCCACCACTTTCAGGCTACCAAAACCATTGGACCAACACACCCCTTGAAGCCATTGATGCCCTCTACACAACCCACCCAAGAATGGGCCCTAACTCCGATGAATTTGGCTGGAATTTCGTCCCAAAAATAGCCCCTCGCACAACACAAAACTACCAACAACTCCATTTCCGACGACTTCCAATCCAAGCCCAACATACAGGTATACTACCCCCATCATGGCAAACCTAACCATGGTCTCCAAACATCTACTAAACTACCCAATCAACAATTGCAGCCACTATTTTCGCACACAGTCGACGAGCAGATTTTAGAAGCACATTCCTGTTGATTGGGGCCAAATTCGAGGAAGCCCATGGCTGGGTTAGGTGCGCCGGTCAAGGCGTACCTAGCCCAGGTGGTCCGCGACTTGGGTTCGTCCGGACAGCGCCGGAACCAGCCATTTTCTCGAGCAGCGTCGCGGCGGAGAATTCTGTTGGAATTAATTTTGGTTTTTCGCATGCATTTTGGTTCAAATTTTTGGCATAGATAGAGTCGTCCAGGGGTACGAAACATGCCAGGGGGTGTTCCAATCAGATTGGTGGCCGAATGTGAGGATTTCAACATTTTGAAGTTTTTTAGGCACCGAAATTTGACTGCTTGTATCTGTCGGATTACTAGGAGTTATGAGAAGTTCTTATGATGGAATTGAAGAGGAAGACAAGGGCTTTCCACCAGTACCTATGTCCTGTGGTTTGGGAGGACGTAGCTCGCAGGAATTTTTGCTCATAGATGGCGTTTTATAAAAAGGGAATTGCATTTCAGGTCTTTCAATTTTGAAGGGGCCGTGTTTTGTTAATTTAGGTTTCAATTAGAACAAAAAAGTCCAAAAACTTACCTCGGTGACCATTTTTAAAAATGAGTGAAAGTTGAGTGACCGTTTATACAAGTTTCGAACTTCAATGATCGTTTTGTAATTTGTTTGTAACTTTCATTGATTTGTGAAATTAACCCATTTTCAAAATGAAAAGGACAGCAAAGAAAGTTCATCCAACAGCCCAACATTTGGATTGCTTTGCTGCATGAAAGACGGAGGGCAGTGGACCCACCTCACACCCGTTACCTATACACACATAACTGTATCTATTTAATTAATTAAATAATCAATTTGATAAACCGGCTTCACGGCGGCGATGATGACGGAGTAAACGTTATTTTTTATTTATTTAAACAATTTATGATTATTTGACAGGCTGTATTAAGGAATTTAATTAAGAATGAATTCAATATTTAAAAGAATGTTCCAACTTTATTCTTAATTTATTTATTTTTGTGATGACAACTATGCCACCATGTTTCGTTGCTGGAACTTGATTTTCTAGGCGCTAAACCTTCGAACGTGGATGTCACAACAAAAACATATGTTTTTATTAGGTTTGATACGTACTAAAATAATATTAGTTAAGAATAAATTTAAATTTTTGTGATCCGTTTTATTTATAACTTCCTTGTACGGTTCGTGGTACATTGAATTTACTTGTAACCTTTTAATAATTGTATTTTCGACTCTCTAACCTTCAAATTATAGTTGTCAATTATTTAATTACGTGCATATGAGACCTAATATGATGGAAATCATCAATTTTAGATTTTAAATTGCATGCGACTTTTACTTGATTTAAAGTTGAAGGACAATATCGTCAAACTATTTAACGTCCAGCTTTGAGTCGTGTTCGATTTGAACACTCAAATTGACTGTTTCAATCACGTAGAAATCTAGATTCACGCATATAATAGATTGAGAATTCAAAATGTCAATGATCTAGAACCAAGCTATTAAAGAGTCCCTCACTGATTTTCCCGACTTTACACTCAACTTTTAGGCATGAAATGTTTAATGAATTTCAGGAAAAATAGTAATGTAATTTTACGACGCTGCCCATAGTTTTGAAAGCACACCTAATTTTATTCTTCAACACGTGATCTACAAGGATGACGATAACATCGAACAAAAGGGATAAACTTACAAGAAATTGACTTGAATAAATCACACATCACATATTTAAAACTATGAATATGAGAAATCACTATCTATGGTTGGAGTTTTCGTCTTATTCGACAAGTTTACATCCAATTTATTGACCTTACTTTTATAATAATAATGGTCGGAGTTTTTATAGGCTCAATACGAAAAATAAAATAAAATAATGGCTTTCAAGTTCTATTAGGAGTGGACGCGAGTCGGTTCGGCTCGATTTTATAAGCTCAATACGAAAAAAAAAATAATGACTTTCAAGTTCTATTACGTGTAGCACTTTTTCTATAAGAAGAAAAATTTGTACCCTGATTTTGAAAAAATTGCATTTGAAGTATTGAAAAACGTACAAAAATGTTACAACTCAACATCCCTAAAAACAAAAGGTTACATGGTACTCGAACATAAATAATAGGTATATTATGAAATATAACAACGTTTTGATAACTGAAACAATTGAAAAACAAAAATCAGTGCTAATGAAACATAAATCATGAATTTGTTCTAAGCTGTAAGAACATCGTTACAACTCAATGAAACATAAATCATTGATATATTCTAAATTGTAATAATATTGTTACATCTCTTACAAAATTAAACTCATGACCTTAGAAAGACAAATATTACTTGGTATTAATGAATATAAATTTTGGACACATTCTAAGTTGTGATAATATCGTTCCAACTCACCAATTTGAAAGACCAATTATTCGGTACCAATGAAACATAAATCCCGAGTATATTTTAAGCTATAACAACATTGCGATATTAAAACAAAAATTACTTGATATTAACTAAATATAAATCTTGGACATGTTTTATGTTAACAACAAGAACTAGAAAGATAAAAGTTTCTTGGTAATAACGAAGCATAAATTATGAGCATATTTTAATCTGTAACAACATTGCGACCTCCAAAGATAAAGTGCGTGTCTGGTTGCACTTAAAATTGTAATCTCAATCGTTGCCAAGTAAAATTTGGACCATTGTTTTTCACCATTTTCCAATTAAGATTGACATGGCAGCCGCAATATTTGACCATTTTATGGCATAATGACGTTTTTACCCTTAATATTTAATTCATTTTGCATGACATATGAGTTTCTTCGATAGTTCATTTTTACAATGTCAAGTTTTGCTGCCAAAGTGGGCTCCATGCTGCAGTAAAAAACGGTCAATTAATTGTTGAAAATTGGAAGAAAGCCCTCCCAGACATGTCCAAAAATTCTTCGTACCTATGAAATATAAATCATGGACAAAAACTAATGTATAAAAACATTGTGACAACTAATCGCTCAAAAAAACAAAAAATTACTAGATACTAACGAAACATAAGTCATTGACATTTTCTAAGTTATAACAATATAATGACGACTCAAGAGCTAGAAAGGCAAAATATACTTGGTAAATATGAGAATATTTTAAATAGTTATAGCATTGCGACCTCCAAAGACAAAAATTACTTGACATCAATGAAATATAAACTATGAGCATATTTAGAGATGTAACTGCATTGTGGCCTTAAAAAAAAAATTACTTGGTACCCACGTAAATCATGGGCATATTTTATGGTGTAATTGTGATAAGTTCAAAAAGCAAATAATTAATTGATATTAATAAAACATAAATCATGCACACATTCTGAACTGTAACAATATTGTCACAACTCAATTATTGAAAAAACAAAAATTACAAGATACAATCGAAACAAAAACATTAACAAACTAGGAAAGTTTCATAAATCAAGCCGGAAAACAGTAACCAGGGTAGTAAAATAGGAAATATTAAGAAGATTGAGGCCAAATTATTGAATAAAGCTAAATTATAAAAAAGATTGATTTGAATTGGTGATTCCTAGTGGGTATGGACCCATTTCTAGAGTGGTTACGAGCTGGCATTAGAACCCTTAATTGACAGACTGTTCATCCCCTACCCACCCCCACCACTCCAAGAAAATCGAACCCACTTCGTATATTAATTCCCCCCCTTTCTTGTTTTCTCTTCAAATCATTTGCTGTTTTGCGAAGCTTTAACTTTTTCTGTATTGGGTTTTCAAGAAAATCTTGTTTAATTTCTTGAAATTGTAATAATGGCCGAAGAAGCCAAGAAATTGACTACTGAAGAGGTGGTGGTGTCTGATGTTTGTGTGACGGAGACACCCACGACCGCCGTTGTAGAGAAGGAAGCGCCACCGCACCCGGAACCTGAGGCGGAGAAGGTTGATAAGCCGGCGGCGGAAGAGGTGGTGGACGGTGAGAAAGAGGCGACGACGGTTGAAGATGAGAAGATAGCTGAATCGGGTTCGTTTAAGGAGGAGAGCAATAAGGTTGATGATCTTATTGACCCACAAAAGAAAGCCTTGGATGAGTTCAAGCAGTTGATTCAAGAGGCACTCAACAGGCACGAATTCACAGCTCCGCCACCTCCGCCGCCGGCCAAGGAGGAGGAGGAGAAGAAACCGGAGGAGAAAAAGGAGGAGGAGAAGAAAACGGATGAGAAAAAGGAGGAATCAAAACCCGTAGAGAAGAAAGAAGAAGAATCAAAGCCTGAAGAGGAAAAAGAGGAAACTTGTGAGGAGGCTCCGGTTGAAGTTCCACCACCAGTTGAACCCATCAAAGAAGAGAAACACGCCCCGCCACCGGCGGCGGAGCCACAAGTTTCCGTTGTTGAAAAAATTCAAGAAAAAATAGACGCCCTTGAAGAAATCAAAGAAACTATAGTTCATGAAGTCACTGCACCAGCCCCACTACCACCAGTCACCGAAGAGTGCCCACCAGCCCCGGAGGTCGAGGAAAAAACACCACCGCCGGAGGAGGTTAAAATCTGGGGAATTCCACTTTTGGAGGATGAAAAGAGCGACGTGATTCTCCTCAAATTCTTGAGGGCAAGGGATTTCAAGGTCAAAGAAGCCTTCTCCATGCTCAAAAACGTGATCGCCTGGAGAAAAGATTTCAAAATAGACGAACTACTTGAAGAAGGAGGAATTGGAGAAGGGCTCGAAAAATTTGCCTATCTCCACGGAGTAGACAGAGAAGGACACCCTGTATGTTACAACGCTTTCGGGGAGTTCCAGGATAAAGAACTGTACAATAAAACATTTGCTGATGGCCAAAAAAGGGCGAAATTCTTGAAATGGAGGATTCAATTCTTGGAAAAAAGCATTAGGAATCTCGATTTTAAACCTGATGGTATATGTACCATTGTTCAGGTTAATGATCTCAAAAATTCGCCGGGACTTATCTTGTTCAAGAAAGAACTACGCCAGGCTACGAATCAGGCTCTCCAATTGCTTCAGGATAATTATCCTGAATTTGTTGCTAAACAAGTAAGTATTTTTCATCCAGTTGTGTTCTTATCATTGAAATTCTTGATTTTTGTAGGTGAATTTGATTAAATTTATTAGCTTTTGGAATTCTCTGCATGATATTTAAATTTATTTATGTCCAATAATTGTAGTGTTAATGCCTTAATGGTACACTACAGTTCACAGGCGAAAAGCCTGTGAATTGGAAGGTTCAACCGATGTCAAATCGGAGGTTGAAAGTAACTAATATGTACAAACACCATAAAGTTCTATGATATGAAGGATATTCATCACAAGGTACCATGTTCTATAACAAAATATTTGTTGATTTTTCTGAAGAGAATGTGGCCAAAAAACCATAGTAGCCGGTTCCGTCTCCTGTTTGACTGAGTTTGTCATGGTTTTTGTAAGCATGTTTTTTAATAATAACTGGACGGATCCCTGGGTCTAGTCGGGTCAGGTTTTTAACACACTGGTTTAATTATAACTTTGTGTGTTTTTTTCTGTTTTATTGGTACTAATTGGATGTGTTCTTGGCAATTATAAGGTGTTCATCAATGTTCCGTGGTGGTATGTAGCTTACAATAGGATGATCAGTCCATTCTTTACCGCAAGGACCAAGAGCAAGTTTGTATTTGCAGGCCCTACGAAGACTGCTGAGACCCTCTTAAAGTTAGTAAATTTCTTTAGTTGATACTCTTTCTACACCCGGTTTTTAATTTTTATTCTAGTTGGGTGATTGAATTTTGAGTTTTAATTCATGCCTCGATTGTAAATGATCAGATACATAGCACCTGAGCAAGTACCAGTTCAATATGGTGGCCTTAGCCGGGAGGGTGAACAGGAATTCACCATTGCTGATCCTGCAACAGAGGCAACTATTAAGCCGGCTGCAAAATATACCGTTGAATTGCCAATCACCGAGGTGTGCAATTATTTCCAAATTATGATAAAATAATTCCACATTCGATGAGTTCAATTGATTGCATAATTGATATATGTATTGTTGGATTTGCAGGGGTGCACGTTGGTCTGGGAGGCGAGAGTGGTTGGCTGGGATGTTTCCTACGGAGCCGAGTTTGTGCCTAGTGCCGAGGGCGGATACACTTGGATTATTCAGAAGTCGAGGAAGATTGGACCAGCGGATGAACCCATAAGTAGCTGTAGCTTCAAAATTGGTGAACCCGGGAAGGTTGTACTTACCTTCGACAACCAAACTTCAAAGAGGAAGAAGCTTCTCTACAGGTCCAAGACCAAGCCCTCTGATTGAGAATTATGAATATAATTGATATAATCCATGATAAGAATGGTTTGTTTTGTTTTGTTCATTTGCACCTTCATTTTTTGTTATTTATATTAAACATAGTTGTGAGTTAAATGGTTTGGGGGAATTATTGTTTGATATTTATTGAAAATTTTGTTGTTGGGTTGTTGAATTGTCTTGTGAAAGTATTTGGGAATGCGATAAACTATGGATAAGCTATAGAAATATGGAATGTGAACACATACTTTGATGCTGTAACTTTTGATATTTTGACAATGCTTTTGTTTCTTTTTGTGTTAGAGATTTGGTTCATTCTCGTATGTTATTCTTCCTTTCTGGTTCTATATGCCAGAAATGACAACCTGTCAAGTTCTCTTTTTGGTAATTGAAGATAAATGAAGTAGGGTAGGAGTGCTAGAATCTTGAGCTGTGCTTTTGCAAGTGCAATCCTCACTTTATTATATATAAAAAACAGTGTCATCATAAGATTCTTTAGTTGTCTTTATGAAATTTATGATAATATAAAATGTATAGAAGTGTGTCTTAAAGTTTGGTTTGTAATCATTCTTCCCAACAACTTAGTAAATAAAGTAGTTGGTCATCACGCTCACTTGTCAAAATCAGTATAAAAAAATACCCCCACAAATAGTGCTAGAAGAAAATACTGTCCTTGTCATATGATAATTAGTTGCAAGATGAAGCAAACATCATTAAATTCACAGAACAGCAAAACCATATCGAATGTTATCCATCCTTGTATTGTATACTTATCTTCTCGACTGTAAATCGATCACTGCTGTAAGGTCGATCGGTGAGACGAATTTATTTTATTACCAAGTCACCTAATAATCCTTATTATTCATTTTTGAATAATAGATATTAAATTGAGGAAAAGATAACTGGATAATAATTTCTTAATTTTGTAGAATCTTTGCAAGTTATGAACGTGAATCTTTGTCCGTTTAGAAAATGTAAACGTAAATGGCAGAATAACATATGTTTGTTTGTACTCACGTACTTCACCTCTGATACAACATTGTTCATTTGTCATTTTCTAATTTAGGATTCAAGAGTTTTGATAAATGTACATAGGATAAATAAAGTGGTAAAATTAGTAATGTACTTTTTCAATTTTCACACATTTTGGATTCCTTGTATCAGTACTCCTTTTAATAAAAGGGATAGAAAATTGTGAAGTTACAAATAAAAAAGTGATGCATTTGTGAAACAAAGAGAAAGTGAAGCATGAATGATATTGGCAAATGAAATGATTGTGTTTCTCTAAGCCCACCCACATACACACTTCCCAACACTTCTAAATTTCTAATGCCAATTCAAAGCCACATGACATGGGTAAAGGGGTTTTA